TCCCCGCCCAGCGCTGGAAAAAGGTAAGTTTTACCCACTTCCAGAGCCAGGCGGGAGGGGGACCCTGAGGGTGGGGGCACCTTTAGGGCACTATAGTGCCAGGAAAATGAGTATGTTTTCCTGGCACTATAGTGGTCCTTTAACCCCCTTGTACGTCTCCCAGCATACAATGTTGTTCTATCCCTGCATGCCACAAGGGAAGTAAAAGTTCTGCTTCTTTATCAAAGAGTTATTCCAGCCATCATGACCACTTCAATGATTTGAGGTAATCATGGTGGTAGGAGTCTGAATGTACAACATTTCACCTTGAAACGCTGTACATCCAAAGATATATAACCTTTTGTACTGGGCTCTACTTAAATCCATGGCACACGTGACTTTCAGTCAGGGACTCTGTTCCATACTCTGCAGGCTCCTGGGAGCGAGCACTGGTGTATGGTTGTGGTACCCGGGGCCTTCAGTGCTGTTCTCATGAACAAAGCCACTGGTATCGTGGATAGGAGTGGCAGGAACTAGGGGGTGAGCTCAAAGCCAATACAAGTAAACATGGGTGTCTTTTTACAGATACATACATGGCATAACCTACCTCTGTGTCTCAGGGATATCACTGGGACAACACACCTTGTATGTTACACTGTTGGAAGCCCAATATGTGTCACAGTGATGCAGGAAGTTATGTTTTCTTACATATTGTGCGTTTATTTCACATGTAAAACAAAAACAAAACCCCCAAAAAACAGAAATCCCTGGAGAATTCAGTTTGTGTGTATCTTTATCAGTGATTCCTGATCTGCTTTGACAGGGAATTCTGTATGTGACATTAGCTCAGTTACCACAAGGAAATCATTAACCCTTGAATGCATTTAAATTAATATAAAAACCCAGCACTCATATCAATGACTGGCCTTGGTTTTTGTGTTTAATTTCAGTGTTGGTACTTTGATATAAATAAGTTGGTTTGGAGGGCACGCGGTTTCAAAAAACTTCTCCATCATTGGTCTGTGCTATCACAGAAGTACCTTCCAATAACCACCCACTTGATGTGGGGCTGCTACCAGCTTTTGGACTTGAGGGATCTGAGCCTCTTACAGCTGGTCCTGATTTCCATGGTCCTCCTTTTAAATACCACCTCTCCCACCTCTATATTGCCAAAATTATTTTGTTTACATGCTGCCTTGTGTCTTAACCCTCATAATAGTTTGCTGTCTCTATAGAGTTCCTGAAGTATTGCCCATTTGAGCATCTTTTTTCCTACACAAAAACCCTGACCTACAATTCTAATGAGCATTTCATCTGGATCCCAGAAACATTTACCAATTTGAAGGGCATCCAGATGGATTGCTCACTTTTTTTTTTTTTTTAATCTTGAGACAAAAGTGGAGATTTAGCATAGTTGTTTCACCAATACTTTGAACTGTAATATTTGGCAGATATTTGCTGCAATGTTGGTCTTGTTAACGCTTGCTTTATTGTGCCCTAATATATGCGGGCACAATAACATAATGGATTCATTTCACTATTGATCAATAAACCGTGCCAACAATATTGATTTTTAGCTTTGAAGCACCATCTTTTCTCCTACAACTGTGACCACCGGTTTCATCACAAAGGTCATTTAAACCATCCACCTTTCATAATTGGAATATCAACTTTATTACTTCACGTGACCTGGAAAAGGCAGCGGACGTTGTATGAGAGCTCACCCTCTTATAGCAATACTCTTTACGAATTATAAAGACGGAATACTGTGACAAAATGTTATATATACATTGTAATATTTTGTACCATATTACTCTACATTTGATTTATTAATTTATGACTTCCAGATAATTATTTATTACATTATACACCAGTTTTTGTTGTATCAATATTTTATTTAACTATTGATAGTTCATTTTATTGTAAAATTTTAAATCAATAAAAAGTATTTGAAAAGGAACACTGACATTATGCTGACTGCCATTACTATTTTTCTCTCTTCTTCAGTAGCATCAACACCCAAGGATAAAAAGGGTACAGTTATACCATCATCTCCCCATATGAAATTCACAAAACATGTTGTGACATACAGTGTTTTGAGCTTTATATTTGGTTTTGCTCTCGAAAGAGCCCTTCTTTATAAAGTACAACTCCTGACGAGCAAAACAAAGGTTGTGTGCCCTTTTTCTTCCTCTGTGACGCTATGCTTTGTTGATGTGGTTGGCAAATAACTAGGTGCCTGTACAGACTTTATATATTTTTTTTTTTTTTACATTTAGGGTGTAACAGGGAACAACCCTGTGCAGTACCTATTCTCTTTATGCCTCCTGCCTCTCTTGCTAACCAAGTAAATGGATTTAGTTAATAGTTTTTGGCTCCATCATTCTTGATTTAGGGCGCCCCCTAGAGGAAATTGCATATATTGCAGATTGGTTTCATCTTTGCCATAACCCATGGAAGTTGAAAGGGATTTTCAATTTCGTATTACATTTTTTTTTTCTTCTATTGACTGGTTTAGATATTGGGAGATTTTGCCTATAAAGCTGACAAGCTGTTTACTTCTGTCATTTTTTTAAAAACTAGTATTTACAAGGAAAGACTTGTTTCCTTCTCGAGAATCAGGGGAATCTGTATTATCCATAGCATGCATGTTGTCAGTATGGATGAAGGTTCTGTTTTACAAATATGCTCTGATTTCTGCCTCTTTTGTTTCCATCATTATATTTAAGGTAATCCTAATGTGAGAATTGTCAGGAATTCAAATTGAATATCAAATACTGGACCAAAATAATAAAACTGGAATTGCAATTACCCCCCCACCCCCACTCCCATTTCAGCTATTTTGGCCTTAAATATGTTCACTTTGAATTCTCATTTTAGTAAATAACCGTTTGCATTTTTTTGAAATGTTACCATGTATCTTGAAAATGCTTTAATCGTTTAATTACCTTGTCTGTGAGTAAAACATAAGTCAGTGTGATTACTACAGCTGAACACTAGCTAAATAATGCAGGAGGTATACAGACTTATTACAGGATGCATGGAATGAAAAGAAAGTACCGGGGGGTGAGGGGGAGGTGACTTAAGTTTGAGAAGTCAAGAATGATGTCTTAGCTCATTGAAGCGGTTTGGGTGCATGGACGCCGGACTTCCAGGGTCACAAACACCCCATGGTGAAATCCTAATACAAGCTTGGCCATTGCAGCACTTGCGCATTAGGTTCCCCCCACCGCTGGCTAATGTTGGCAGGTGAGGAGCGAATGCAGAACCATGCAAGCGCTGAAGGACATCTGTGCTAGACTGGTTTAAGTGACAGTTTTTTGTTGTTTTTTTTTTAAATACTTCTGCAACCTGGATGTCACGCTTACATTGTAGCATTAAGTCTTTGAGAGGACAGACATATTCCCTTTGCCCTACAGTCTTTAAAGGGAACCTGTTAGGGAGCTTAACACAATATGGCCATATGGTGGAACTGAATCCTCATGTTTGTTGAGATAGGTGATTTTAAGTAGCAGTATAACATTTTAAACTTTTTTTTTTTTTTTAATCGGTGCGCTGTTCCTTAATCTTTTTTTGTCATTTTCGTATCTACAGCAGCACCAATGTTGAGAAATGCAGGTTTCAGGTGTGCCCCCAAGTCCATTTTCTTCTTTACTATGTAAGTTTAGAGTTCAGACCAGATTCCTTTTTGGTTGAGGACCCTGCCCCCACATCAGATGCTCCTTTGGAGGTGGCCACAGGAACTTATAAACTTGAGGTTTTGATAGTGACACTTTAATTATATTTTTCATATGGTATAGAGCAGATATTTGAATTGCATTGTAAGTATATGAAAGCACTATCGCTTTAATTGTACTGACACTATTTTTTGGAATTGTGTTTAAAACATAAATTTTTGTCAATATATTGTGAATATATATGTCAATACACTTTAGTCCATTTAGCATTAGTACTATTTTATTTGTCTCCCATGTTTAATTAGTGTATGACCTACAGATATTGAGTACTGTGAAGTGGTAGTGGGCATAACACAATATGGCCATTTTTGGAACTGAAATCCCATCATTTCCTAAAATAGCCTTATAAAATTTAATTTTTATGTGTGCGCTGTTCCTTAATCTGTATGATGGGCGCCCAAACTGTCCCTTTATCCAATCTGTACATTTCCCCTACATAATAAGCCTAATTTTAAAACAAATGCGAACCCGAGTTTTACATCCTAGACAAGGACTATAACTTGCATAATCATAGTGAGAGTCAATTACAGTGATCCCATGAGATGGACCACTGAGGTACCCAGGATATATAAAGTCTGAAAGCCAAACCAGATTTACTGCTGAATTGCTTTACTTGTAACGAATCCAGGAAGAGGCTGCCTCCAGCCTTTTCAAATAAACCGGGTGATATCACAATCAGATAAGGCCAACCTCAAGTATAATATTAGTGGACCGTTTCATACTGGAGATATCCAGCAGTACCTTGACATGTGGGGGGTCTTGGTACATACTGATCACTGCCAACAATAAAGCCCTTATCGAAAAAAATGCACCTGACTGCTTTGGCACCATGCCAGAGTTGCCTGGAGCAGTTCGTTTTATTTTATTTTTATTTTTTTTGTTAACTTTTAAAGGGACTGAAAAGAATGAAAACAGACATTGCCTTCTACCCGAAATTCCTCCCTACTTTTGTCTGATCACATCTGACACGGTCTATATCTCTAAAATGATCAATAAACAGAATGTGGCTGCAATCCTTCTATTTACAAATAACCTACACAGTTAGCAATGCAGAGGGTGGATATTCATCACTCTTGAGTACTGTAAGATGCAATCCTAAAGAACTATATATCACCATTCAGTTTTTGCTTAAAAAAAACCAAACAAACCTTATCTGCCTTCACAAAAAGTAAGCATAAGTGAATAAATACATTGTGTCTCATTTTGGGAGGAGCACACATACATTGTATTTGTATTGTTCATAAAATAAATTAGAGGTGGGAAAGAAACACAAAAGAGCCAGTATTTAATCTAAATATTGGCAAGCTTCTTTATTTAATTTTTTGTTTTTGCAATAGCTAATACCATTGATAAATAAATATTCCTGCTTGGCTGTGTTTAGTGTAACATATAATACACTGCGGAATACGAGCCCTTCCCTGTAGTTCCAGGAGATAGGGGTGGAATAGTGTCACAGTTGGTCAGCTAATAGTGGAGAATTTCTTCCACAAGGCTCTTATACAGAACTAAAACACAAGCAGAGATTCTTTTCTCAGATCTCAGACAAGACCTGGCAAAAAAAAAAACCACTACAAAACACTCCTTTGTACTGAAAACGGAGCAAGATTCTCTGAATTCATTTATTGGCATAAAGAGTGTCTCTGGGAGAAAGAAAGAGAGCCTACACATTTTAGCTTTGCTGGTCCCGTGTAAAAAGGAAACAATTACATCTTTGTGCATAGTGGAAGATGCTCTGCACTCTGCCGTAGAACATCTGGAATGGTACAAAGTGCAGGGTCCTGTGTCAAGCACCTTTTACAGTGACACCAGTCATTTTGAAGAAAATTAACTGTGTGGACGACATTCTTAACATCTTGTTATTGGACCCCTTTTTTGGTCATTCATTTGCCAGTTTCCATCTAAGCCCTCCACTGATTGGTCACAACATATGCTCACTCAAAAGTAAAGAATTTCTGTACAACATGTACAAGTTCCTCAAAAGGTAAGACCAACAGGCTGCATCCAGCCACAGAAAAACAAAAGTACTGTGTAGGTTATGAGGATTTCACATGTTTAAGAAAAAGGTACCACGTCCAAGAAATACTATTATTGTTTTCCAAAGACACATACAAAATATGGTGTCTGTAGCCTCCCAGCTCCACTGAACTGTACATTCCCTTTAAATAATACAATGTATTTTCTACACAACATATATAAAAAAAAAAAAAAAAAAATATATATTTTTTTTTTTTTTAAAGGAAACAGATCTATAAGATTCTTAAATGCATGTAAGTTGTTACATCATGTCTTGTGAAAAGGGTGATCAGAAGAAGAAGGAAAAAAAAGTTATAAATATGTGTCTTCACTCTCTTTGGAGCATAAACTCTCATTTGATTGATGCACTTTTAGGGTGTCCTTTAGATTTTGTTTGGGAACCAGAGGCTGAACCGGTTCCTGCCGGTGGTCTCTTGTTCCCTCCCCTCCATTCTCCTCTTTTACATTTCCATTAGATTGGTCCCCTTTGCCTTTGCTTTTTTTCTTTTCTAGTTTCTTTTTCTCTTTCTCCTCCTTTTCCCTCTCTTTTGCAACCTTTGCTCGCTGCTTCTCTTGTTCTTTCTCCATTTGTTTCTGCTCCCTGGTCTTCTTAATTGCAGATGTGTTGGATGGGAGAATGATGGATGGGGAGTGTTCCAATGGTTTATGATTTGGAGGGTCTGAATCACTGATTGCTTTGGCCCCATGCATACGGGGAGGAGATTTGCACTGCAACTCTCCAAACTCCTCTTTCCATTTTTTCAGCTGGATTAGGTGCTCACGTTCCACATCACGCTCTGTGATTTGCAATTCTACAATCTTCAACAAAAAGGAGCAAGAATAAATATATTTAAAAAAAAAAATTAATGCCATATAACAGAAGCATATGTTTTTCCTACATCACATTCCAGCGAAATTATTCTGTATTATTAATTGTGAAAACGTGCGGTTCATGTAGTTACCAGAACAGATTTTTGGGACTGAGCAATGAGATTGCCAATTAACCATAAGCTTCCATGGCTTAAAATACAAACCCTAAAAGATGGTGATATGTGGGTCAGTGGTTTAATTTACCAATTAAACAAGGTTTGTTTCTAGCACCCAAAAAAGTAAGTATGTCAAAGCATGAAAAACTCTTGGACAATTCCATTATCTACAAGTGCAAACACTTCAAAGAATCGTGCAGATAGCATCTGCATGACCAACAAATACAATTATTATACTAAGAATCATACTTTATAAATAACTCTTTAAACGACCAGCATTATTTCAAAATAATACAAATAATCGTGTTAGTATAAAAGAAGGGATTGTGGATTTTAAAATCAAAATTAGTTGCTCTGGGCCTCTAAAGACAAAAAATAAATAAAAATAATTTGTAAACGTATGCTAGCTGTAGTGTCTCACCTCTCCAATAAGGAAGTTCTCCTGCATGTATTTGGGATCAATAGCCTTCAGTTTCTCCATCGTCTCATACTGACCCTGACACGACTTGAGCTTCTCAGAGGAACCAAGTGTATATTTCAGCAGAACCAGTGCCACTCGGAAAACTATCTTCACACCTGCATGAGTAAAACAGGGCAAACATGAAGCAAACAGTACCCAAACCTGAAATATATTCCAAGTTCTTAAAGTTTATTATGGGTCACTACTTATGATAAGAAGGGTTTCCCTAAATAAATCAATAGATGCATAAATATAGAATACTAAAACAGGAAATACATTTGGAGCACATTCGCCAGACGTTTATCAAAGTACCAGAGCAGTACAACTTAAAAAGGGAAGTATTGAATTCTTGTCATATACTGTATAATTTAGTAATATATGTTATTTTGCAAATATGGAACTGCCGAACACTAGAGGTTATAAATAATTGTTCTACCTATGTCAAATTCACTTGAAGGCAAATAAAAAATGTGTTTGTGAACAAAGGGGCAGGGCCTGACTGCAGAGAAGAGCAGGCGTATGTTTCAGCAGCTCTTCCAGTTGTGTGGAAAATACTGCTTGAAATTTGCAGATGCAAACAAAAACTCAACAAATTCTGCCCACTAAGTGTGAAGGGACATTGTGGTGTCCACAGGGATACCATGTAAGCTACAAATCATGAAGAAATCACCTGATCACTTTTTGCGGCCTACCTGCGTGGTTGGCGTGGGAGAGGCAGCCGCTCTCCTGCTGCCATGGAAGGTTGGAACCTGTTTGGGACCTCGTTCCCCACCTCCCCCCTCTGGACTGGTGGGGTTTTTCCTGGTTCCAGGAGAACACCTCATTGACTTACAGCTTATGCCCCAGCAGGGATACCACTGCACCCAGTATGGCAGAGGAGACATGCGGGCCCACAAAACGTAGCTCAGCCACAACCTACACTCCACAAGTTGGAGGCTATCTTTTCGGCATTTCTATCTCACCTGGCAGACAGGCAGAAGGGCCTGCAGCAATCTCAACACTATCACTCACCTGCAGACGACCACAAGAGAGATCCAGCAGAGTGGAACTATAAAGTGGGTCCTCACTGACCTAACAATCCCAGTCTTGTACAACCCGATTTTGCAGTTAAGCTCAATAATATCTCTGCTGATTTCTGGAGAAGGCCGAAACACAGGGCCAGTGAGTACAGCCAGCAAAAACGCAATGCCCAAGATAAACTAAATCAGCCACCTTGGAAATTCTTGCATCGTTTCCGGCGACGGTCTGAGGCCCACCCAAAAAAGGCGAGGCAGCCCAAGTCACCACATTAAAGCTGGGCCTGGGTGCAATTTCCAAGCAGTCTGGCCCGAGATCTACCCTGATAGGTTCCATGAGCTTGGCTAACAGATGAAGCCCTAGCAGCTACTGATGGGCTCCACCGCCTGCATCCTGACCCTTGTGCCCAAAGTCTGCTCTGCCGAATAGACAGTATGCTATGCCCCAGAGTGGCATTGGTTGATCCGGGACTGGGACCCCTGCCCGCTGGCAATAGTCATCTCATAATGACTTTACACTGCTTGCTTTCATATTATTTTACTTTTAAATGTCACTGGCAGGAGTGTTTATTTGCTCACTGTTCATACAGTTTCATAGTTGACAGCCGTTAGTTAGAGATGTTGTGCCTGTTAGTCTGGAAAATAATCTATGAGCCTACTAGGTGTTCTTTTGCCTACACTCTCTGCGTCTCAGACATACTAACTGAATACTTGCTCTGCTGTACATATGGTTTAGACAACTTAGATTGACTACTACTATCTTATATTATAAATTTGTGCTAAAATATAACAATGCCATGCAATTGTCTCATTGTGTGATCCAACGTACTTGCCCTTGCTGTCTTGGTAGTGCAAGCTTGCCTGTATTTTTTTCTTGGACAACACAAGTAGGAGGCATGTGTCAGGGGTAAATTATAAACATAAATTCATATATAGGGGGTTGTCATGGTTATTTTTCTTGTGCTTGTGGTTACAACATGCTCGCAGCACCACGATGGCGTGTACAAGCTATTCAATATCATACAGTGTCATGGCAGAGTAAACAGCACATTTATATTTTTGAGATATAAAACAGGTTTGGTACAAGTGGATAGAACTTTTATAGCTAGTCTATGCATGCTTAGTTGAGCAGTGTTGATATGGTTCTTAAGTTACAGGCTATGCAAGTTAAAGGACCACTATAGTGCCCTGAGGGTGCCCCCACCCTCAGGGTCCCCCTCCCGCCAGGCTGGATGGCGAAGAAAGGGGTTAAAACTTACCTTTATTCCAGGGGCGGGGAACTCTCCTCCTCCTCTCCGCCTCTGATCCTCCTCTTCGGCTGAATGCGCATGCGCGGCAGAAGCTGCGCGCGCATTCAGCCGGTCTCATAGGAAAGCATTTACTATATTTACAATGCTTTCCTATGGATGCTTGCGTGTTCTCACTGATTTTCACAATGAGAAGCACGCAAACGCCTCTAGCGGCTATCAATGAGACAGCCACTAGAGGATTTGGAGGCTGGATTAACCCATTTATAAACCTAGCAGTTTCATTATAAAAAAAGGGGTTAATCCTAGAGGGACCTGGCACCCAGACCACTTCATTAAGCTGAAGTGATCTGGGTGCCTAGAGTGGTCCTTTCATGACGGGTATAGATTTCTCTACACTGCTTGGATTTACATTTAACCACCAGGGGTCAGCGAGTCTCTGCGTTTGCTGGATAAACGGACATGTAGACTTAATTATTTTTAAATGAGTTACATGTGGGACTACAGAATAGGGTCATCTGCAATAATTCTAGACATAACAGTATGAATAAAAACTAAAAATAAAGGATGCAAAGCGCTCTTCTGGAATTTTGATTATGATTATACAGGGTTAACAATCGCTTAGTTACTCCTGCAACTGTGCGGGGTCGGCTGGCGTCCTGGCTGTAATCAAGTCCCTGGTGTTTCCCGCTGGTTGCTTGAGTGCCCAGGTACTTGTTGGCCAGGGGTACGTTTGGTCTCATGTATCTGCTAGCTTCAGTCCCAGGTATGAAAGAGGCGTGTGTCTCATGTCCGTTGCACTTCTGTGCTCATTCAGGGTTATAGTCCCAAGTGAGTCCCCACAGATCTGCCGGTAACCATGTGAGATGTTGCCTCAGATAATGCAGGCATAAGCTGTGCTTACATGCTGAATGTGCCCTCCTTAGAGTCGTCCGGTGGGCAGAGAGTGTGTCGTTGTCTGCGGTCCGCATCGGTTTCCAAACAGTGTCCAGCAGTTGCTCTATTGCTGCCGCCTCCATTCTCCAGCTAGTGAGGGACGCGGCGGCCATGGGTTTCGCCATGCAGTCCCTAGCTGATCTGTTCGCCGCTCAAGCGTCATGGGTGGTCCACGGGGTGGAGGGGGGAAACGGGGAGACTCTAGCTTATTGACATTTTAATTCAACTCAATTTTCGGTCTCTAAACCTCATATAATGCTGAAGATGAAGCTGGAACCAATTAAGGAAATTCCAAGACTGCCCATTTATAAAATAAAGTTATACCTTTATTGCAAACTTCCATAAAATCTCCAACATAGAGTGGTAGGTTGGAGATTTAACAGGCTTTTGCAATAAAGGACCGTGTTTCTGGTGCACCACGAAGTTGGTGTTTCCAATGTGCTAAATAGCCATCGAACACAGTACTGACACAAACACAAATTACTAAAAATAAAATACCCTCATAAAAAAAAAAACCAAAAAACAAAACAAAACTAGCATAAAAAAAAAAAAAAAAATCTTGTAAGCTGGCACGTCATCAACATGCTGCACAACCCATCAATAAAGCCTTCTACATTGGCTGCCCTGGATAGGATTTCTGCAGAATTTATGCATAAGCCGCCACTTTGATCACCTTATCCCCCAGCAGTTATACTCCACAATCAGAAAACTCCTCTCTCCCCTTCTAGGAGGCTAATAAAGCAATTGTGTAGCTGGAGAAGGCGCCACGATGAGGGAGATTAAAACTACCTAACTATAGGAGACCTACTATCACCAACATCAATGACTAAAGCTACCAAGCAGTTCCCTTTAAGCCACATATGTGTCCTTTCCAAACAGGGAACATAATCACAGACTCCTGAACCAATCGGTTAGGCAACAGGGCCCAGTACTGAGAGATCAGAATCCCGAGAGCCATGCAAATTTGGTTACTGGCTGATTTACAAATAGTGCCAACACCTCGATTGCCTAGCTGTTGACAGTTTCATGGTTTGATTATACTTGTATGCTGCTGTGAACTGTACCATTTTTTAAAACTAATCTTTTCATTCTGAGCAGTCTCTACTCTACTTCATTCAGGTAATTTGAAGCATTTAAAAAAAAAAAAAAAAAAAAATTCAATACCAAGTTATAGAGACATATCCTTGAGACTCTGTCTCAAGCATCTTTTCCAAAGTCCTTAGAGTTTTTTCTTCATATTTTTCCTAATGTTAATATGTGTGGTTGTGAGCTTTACTTTACTGTACCAATATATCTGATAGGTATGCTTTAAATACTTTGGTGGTAATAAAATCTTTACAGTTGTTTTTAGAAATAACCTTAACTTACAGCAATATACAATAATGCAGAAAACTATAAATGAAGCACAATAAAGAATAAAATGTCAATAATTTTTGTTGCCTTTCCCCCTACTAAACGATGCAAAGTATTGGGCAGCATGTGCAGATGTTTAAGGCAATTTATATACATTGAAAAAAAACTCAACAATGGTAACTGAATGGAAGTTCTCCCATTGACACCTACTGCAAAATTGCTACAGTTATTAGAGGTGTGTTTATCTCGTATAATAGAAACAGCCCCATGGACACAAATGCATAAACCTGCCACTACAACAGAGGGTGCTTGATGGGTGGTAGGTTCGTAACATGAATTAACATTTTACACTGTTGCCATTCTAGAGAATAGAGAGAACAAACAGATCACATAAAATTGCCAGTCAGGGATGTTTCTAGTCTAGTAAGGTCCCCTTGTGGACAGATTAATAGGTCTTTGTTAAACCTTGCTAGTTTTTAAAGGTTTATTTACAGAAGTAAGCAATCTTTTAGCACCGTTGTGCCAAATTAAGACTTTGAGGTCCCGATTCTGCTTGTTTTGATGCTGCCGTTGCTTTATTGGATTGTATCCATGCGTATGCGGAGTTACTGTTTGCATGAGCAGTTTGTGGTATTGTATGTGATACATGTGTATGTGTGTGAATGTGAACACTGTATGGGAGGGGCTGCTTATGGGATTGTGTGAATGCTTGGGAAGCTGCTTGTAGAGCTGTGTGTATGCACGGTGTCAGTGTTATGTTTCTGGAAGCTGTGTGTGTGTGTGTGTGTGTGTGTGTGTATGTCTGGCTGCATTGGTGGCTTTTCGGTGTCCAGAGAGGGCCAGGTATAGGTCAAGGGTAGGTGCTATGGTGGCTGGCCTCACCCATTGTGGATTTTCCTTCTCCAGCACTTGGAGAAACCGATCTTGGATCACTTCCTGCAAGCACTGTAATGTATAATTGAGAACCGCCCCTCACTCAACAGTTTCAATCAATGCTAGTGCCAGATTTTCAGTTGGCAATAAAACCTCAGTCTGTTTGGGTCTGGCACCCTTGCGTACCATTCAATGGCTCATCTAGTGTCATGCATGGCATGTGTGCCATAGGTTGCAGACAACTGATCTACAGTAGATATGGGACAATCGATTGTTCTCTATATGTATCTCTATCTAGGGAGAAAAATTTGGCTAATGCCTTATTTTTAAACTATAAGATAGACATGTGCAAAAATGTGTTTAGTCTATAAACTAATCCATTCACACAAATAAAACATCTGGACCCACTATGAGACATTAAAAATGTGAGGATTGCAAAAAGTAATGTGCAAGACTACAAGAGCAGCATCTATGCCCCAAAGTCACTTCACTAAGTTTAAGTGGTTTTGATGCTTAGATTTTCACTTAAATGTCACCCCCACTACCACATGTATTCCAATTTGTATTAGAACTATAATAAAAGGAATTTCTGCATACATACTGCAATAACATATTATTATGATTTATTGCAATCCTGATCAGACTTTTTTTCTCTTGGCTTCTATGGTTGTTACACATTCATAGCAACAGCATGGCTCTGACAGATCTACAAGATGTATAATACAAAGATCAGAAATCCCATCAACGAGTATGTCTGCATTATGTCTGCAATTCTCTTTATGATCTATCCTTTGTATGCCCCAGCATTGTTTTGCAGAATGCTTTGGATCTCAGGTGCTGTTTTAAATCTATGAAAGCATGCTATTGTTTTTCTAACCCTATAATTAGTTAACTGTAGGGGGGAGTGATGTTAAAGATGTTTAATGGGGGGTGGAGAGAAGAAAAAAAAAAAAAAACACCAAATCAAAAACAAAAGAAATTATATACATATATTCAGTACTTGTGTGGCACCAACAGGGCCAGGAACACAAACATGTATTCCTGACCCTATAGGGTTAAAACCACCATCTATTCCCCAATGGCCTCCCTAAATATAGTCAAATCTTACCTGTATTCAAGTCTACAGCTGCTGCCTGACATCATCAAAAGTAATTCTCTGAGCCATTCACAATGCTTCCCCATAGGATTGGTTGAGACTGAGGAAAGTTCAGTGTCTCCATGTAGAGGAAAGAAACACTGATTGACAGTGCAGCACAGTGTGCAGCACTGCCCCAGAAAGCACCTCTAGTAGCCATCTAAGGGGTTGCCAGTGGAGTTATCACTAGGCTGTAATGTAAACACTGCATTTTCTCTGAAAAGACAGGGTTTACTGCAAAAAGCCTGAAGGGAAGTATTATACAATTATACCAGAACAAATACAATAAGCTGTAGTTGTTCTGGGGACTACAGGTCCCTTTAAGTGTTTTCTTTGTTAACCCCACAGAGCTCAGCAACAAGGTGATCTATAATAAAGAACACCCATAAATGCAAAGGATTATAGCCATGTAACACACTGGTAATTTTGTGACCAAAAATAAAGATGAAAAATGACACACAGGGAGGGGTTACAGGGATGCCAGCTAATGGTTACAGACTGTATCCAAAACACCGACACAAAGCAGCATGCAAGTCCTGGCAAGCCTTGTACAGACAGGCTACACTGTGCGCACACACACACACACACACACACACCTAAATGACTGATTCATATAGCCTATAGCTTGAGAGACATCCTACAAAGTAAAAGTTACCTTCCAATTTTATTCCTACATTCACATGTAGTAAAAACCCAGCAAACCCCTTTTTTCGCCAGACAGGAGAAGGCAGAGATGGGACACCTAAGCAATGAATCACACTTCACACGCTTTATGCAATATGTAGTGTTCCTTTTATTTTGTAAAGAAACTGCTACAGTTCAAGACGTTGGGAAATTGCGTGAGTAGTAAATGGAATTTTGAAATCTAAGTCCCATCAAATAAAAATGGGCATATGGTATCCAGCCACAAAAGAAGTAACACTTATTTATAGGCAGACAAGAATAATCTTCGTCAATCTAACATAGAACAGGAGCACACAACTCCATTTAAAATTGTACTAATCTTTACAGCAGATTGGGCTAATACAGCACAGATTACAAGGACAGTTAAGTAAAGAACATGACTAGTTTAATGAGTGGTTAAGAATCTGATCAAATTATTTCCCTGAAGATTATTTCCCCTTCTTCTGCCACGGAAAGAAAGGCAAGGGGGGAAAAAAAAACAACACAACAGAATAATTCTATAGTAGGGGCAAAACACAAGAGGGTGGCACTGCTTTCACAGGGCTATATTGACAACGTTGGCCTGTAGACAGTAACTCTGAAGCTTAAAAACTCAGAAGAGTTAGAAGTGTTGCCACAACTCTATTGATGTACAAAATGGTAAGAAAGCAAGTCTGGGCAGCAACACGAGTGTATGACTTACAAGACAGCCTTTGTAATGTTTAAGAAAAATGAGAGATTCATTTTGACAGTTTTTACACAATAAAAGGCTTTCAATTTTGTCTTTGCATCAGTTTTCAAGCATGAAATTTTAATAAATTCTGAGCATTCTGAAAAATAAGAAAAGGCCATTGGATAAAGTATTCCTTACATATCAACCCTTTAAAGTAGGTTTAAGAGAAGAGTGGAAAGCACCTCAGAAAGTACCATGCTTTCCTGCATGGCTGAAAATGTGAACCTACTGCTTTCTAACACACTGGAGTACAGACTGAGAATTTTTCAATACTATTTGCCAGTGCATATTGCCAATATTGGCAACTAAAAAAATGTGTTCCAAATATTTACATTACACTGGATTGAACAATAGAACTAAACAATAGAAACCACTGACGTTCAGTCTTATAAAATCAAAAGCCACCTACAGCAGTCTTCATTAATACATACAAATTCATAATACCCATTTTCTATTTTAGTGACAAACAACTCACGTCTACACATTAATTATCTCGATCCCACTTAAGAGGAATAGAAAAAGGGTAACACATGAATGAGGTGGATACTAAAGAGGAGTCCTTCTCCTGTTAATGAGTAAGCATGAGGGTATATCAGAGAAGTTAAAATAAAAAGGGAAGACGCATGGGGTGACAGTGAGGGTATTAAAAAAATGAAATTAAAAAAAAAGTGTTCATGCTTTGAGCTTGCTCAAGTTATATATATATATAAAAAAATTTCATTTTTACTGCAGTAGGTTACAACAGTAACAGCCATAAAAAGGAATGTTGGGGTTTCCCAACATACCAAACAAAATACGACTGATTCACTATACCAAGTAACAGGGAATTGATATCAAAGTTTTGCATTTGCCAACATAACTTTGGCAGATTGCATAACAACAACACTGAATAAAAAGTGGTAAAATAAAAATACCATTGACAGGCATACAGGGTATACCAGGAAATGTGAGCTAGGAAGAAGCCATACCTTCACAAAAAAACATATCCCAGACACGGAGGACAGAGCTCCATGGAAGAGTCCGTGAAAATGCACACATGAACCACTCAGTCATATATAGGATAGGGTCAATCTTCTGCTTGCTCAAGTGCTTGTAGGCAACTGGGGACACTTTACGGAGCAGAGAGAACAGGATCCTTCCATCCAGCTGGATAGCTTCCTGTAGAGAAAGAACACACAATACAGGATGAATATGCTAAACTGGTTACAAGCTATTCTACAATAATACATTTAACAGCTAAAATCCAATGAAATTTAGGGGTATGAACATAAACTTTTTGTAGAGCAACAGTACACTAGAGACTTATCAAATACCAGTAATACTGACAGCAATACATTAGGTATAAGAGACATAACATGTTAAGTAATCAGGCTTTCCTGCATGGCAGAAAATGTGAACCTATTGCTTTCTAACACACTGGAGTACAGATTGAGAATTTTTCAATACTATTTGCCAGTGCATATTGGCAATATTGGTAACTAAAAAAAAAATGTTGATGTTCTTAACTAGCAAAAAAGAAAAAACAAAAATACCACACCAAATATTTACATTACACCGGATTGAATACCTATCATTTACTAGAAACACGAGATAATCAGGATTAGTCACTAAAACTGAGAATTCAAAGTGAATTTCAAATTTAAAGCCAAAATGGCTGAACTGAAGAACATTTCCAAGTCAGATGTGCATCCAGTTAGACTATATTGGCCTTAACTTTAAAAATCACTTTGAATTCTAAAACATTAGTAAGTAACCATGAATGTATCAGGCCTGACAAAGAGTCAGTGAGAGAGTTTTCTTGCAAATGATAGCTTTGAGTATTACTGGTTCTGTTATAATGGTCTGATTTCTGGAAGTGCCCGTCATAACTGACCGGTGGAGAGAGAGAAGCAATTGTTGCCCCTCCGATGGAAAATACACAGTTTTTTTTCTCTGAAGTGAATTGTTTTTCAGTACCGCAAATAAAATCCTCCTTATCACCAGCTGTATACAGAATTTATGAAAACATTGGGGTAGACAGCTAAACGGTCATTCAAAATGTACAACTTTTGCCAAGTAAACCAAAAGAAATGTTATGCGGATTCGGTTGTTTCCATGTTATTTGCCCCACAACTGCACCACTTTTTTATTATCAGTATTTTATAAGCTTCCACAAAAGTATCCAGTCATTCATTCAGTGTTTTGTTTAGTAGCCATGTTTAAGATCAGATTATTTCTGCCCTCTAGTGCACAAAGAATGAGTGGTAGTTGAGTACAAAACTCAAACATTATGTTCAGTTTCCAAGCTAGTTATACTAGGATTTAAAGCAGCACTGTCATGCTGAACTTACCTATCCTCAATTTCTTCCTCTTCTCCCCCTCTCTCAGGATCTGTTCTTCTTTTCTTCCTGTCTTCTTTAGTTTTCTTTAAAATCATAAGACAAAGTAGGGACTCTTTGCCTTATGGAGGATTCCTCCGCTTGACCAGCTCTGACCAGCGGAGGAGCAAAGTGTGCTTCATTTCCGCTGGTCAGAGCAATTTTCCCATAATTCTTACCTTTCCTCTGTGTTCCCGCGATGCTTCCTGTCATTTTAGCCGAAACTGCCGAATTGCGTTCTAACTGAATGAGAACAGTATGTTCGTTTGTTTTAGAACGCAATTCGGCACTTTATTCGGATCGTAATTTCATTTGAATGAATGAAACTCCGATCCTGTTCGTGCTGTGGCTGCATCTTGCAGCCGCTTAGTAGATAGCTCCCTAATACCGTCGGAATTAGGGAGCTATCTACTAAAAGGCTGAAAGACCTAAATTGGTCTTCCAGCCACCATTTACTAATACTAAGTAAAAATTATACTGCGTAGTTCTTTGGAATTTTCCCACGCTGTGTAAAATGACACAGAGCACTGTGATTGGATGGATTTCAAGCCATCCAATCACAGTGCTCTGTGTCATTAACAGGCCAAACTAATCTTATTGATTTTTTTGATTGGGTAACTAAAATAATAGATCAGGGTGGTGCAGAAGACATTGCTTACCAAGATTTCAGTAAGGCTTTTGACACTGTTGCACATAGAAGGCTTATCAATAAATTGCAATCTTTAAGTTTGGATTCCAATATTGTTGAATGGGTAAGGCAGTGGTACAGAATATTTGATAGTAATGGCTCTAAAGCTGCTATTTGAGTATCTAGAAATGCTGTCTAACAGATTGGGATATGAAGCATTTGAGAGAGTTAACTGTGATGCCAGTGAACAGATTAAGAGATCAGTTTAGGACATAGTTATGCTCATTTGAGCTGATGAAAAGAAAGATTTACAGAATGTTTACGACAAAAGCAAAAACAAACTACCGTAAGAATTGTGAATACTGTACAGCATACCTACGGTCAGCCAATATTCATTGCTAACAGTCACAGAATATAATTATGGTAACCCATTAACCAAGACTATTCATATTGGGAACACATTCTCCATTACTGCCAATACTCCACCCATGCATACATCTTCCTGAACATTACATATTACGAAATGTTTTGTTTTTGTGTCTGAAATGCAACGAGTCCATTCATATTTCTCAGGTTGCCTTACCAGCTTCTCACTGTAATATCCTGGAAGGTACTTTTCACAGATCTGCACGAGACACCAAAATGCTTGCTGTGGAAGAAGACAAGATTTGTGTGAGACAGCACTTAAACTGTATACATAGAAGTTGTAGGAAATGTCAGCATGCTCACCTCAGCTGGCATGTGCATGAGCAGGACAGCAGCTATTGGAGCCTGAGCCTGGCAGTATCCCTCCTCTGGCCGGTATAGTGTATATGCTTTAAGCACTTTGAATAGATCCTGCTGGCTGTATAGTTGACATGTGAACAAAGACCGAACATTACTTACAGAAAGAAAGCATAGAAAAAAAGTGTACACAATGCATAAAAATTTTCACACTGGCTCCAGTTGGACTACAGCCTGTTTGTGAATGATGAGTATCACAATCAGGATAGCTCCAACAGGTGAGTTAGGGAATATGTTGAATACATACAAACTTTCCTTGAGATTATAATTAGTCTGAACAACAATGACAGAGTTGGCTTTTTTTAAGCTAAATTATTGGCTCATGTACTCTCTTAATAGATTGTGTCTCCAAAAAGAATGCTTTAAAATTAACCTTTAAAAAGGAGAAATATTACACAAACAATACTTAAAGGGACACTACAGTACCCAGGACTACTACAGCTTAATGTAGCAGTTCTGGTGTCTATAGCCTGTCCCTGCAGGGTGAGCACTGTAAACTTTGCTTTTTAAGAGTAAAGGCAGTATTAACACCTCTACTGACAGTCTCTCAGACAGCCACTAGAGGTGCTTTCTAGTCCAGTACTGCATAGTGTGCAGCACTTCTGTTAGGCATCTCCACGCAGAGGACTGAACGGTTCCCATAGAGATGCATTAATTCACCAATCAAGATGCTGACTGGTGCAGAGCAGTGTTTTGCCATACATGTGCAATAGCCTCCCAGGAAAGGTTAGCCATCATTGTAAGTGACACAGTGTTCAGTCTAGCAGCTCCATACATCTATCATAACGACATCTGTGGCAAATCTCAGCAAGCTATGAAAACCACAAAACAGAGAAGCAGCAAGAATGAACTTGTATAGCTCATACCCGTCAGCAACCAAAAGGAGGCTATAGGAAAACATTAGATTGGCTGAGATAATCAAAATTGAGGATCTCAGCCACGGAGAGACCAGCACGGGGTGGGAGAAAAGGTTAGTAAAATCACCTTTTTAACTGCACAGAGTGTGGGCCGGTCAGAAATACATGTTTCCATTCCTGACACTATAGTGTTCCTTTAAAGGGACACTCCGGGCACCCAGACCACTTCTGCCCATTGGAGTGATCTGGGTGCCAACTCCCACCACCCTTAACCCTGCAAGTGTAATTATTGCAGTTTATAAAAAAACACGAAACACTAACACGGCATTGGACGTCCTCACACTATGCATGAGGACCTCCAGCGTTGCCGGAATCCCCATAGGAAAGCATTCCTATAGGGAAGTCTAATGCGCGCGCGCGCAGCCATTGCCACGCATGTGCATTAGGTCTTCCCTGCCGGCTGACGTCGGTGGGGGAGAAGCATAGGCGGAGCCTGACCCAGCACTAAGTGACAACAGCGCTGGATTCAGGTAAGTCACTGAAGAGGTTTTAACCCCTTCAGTAACATGGGATGGGGGGGGTGGGGGAGAGAGGGGAACTGAAGGGTCCTGCAGTGCCAGGAAAACATATGTTTTCCTCGCACTGGAGAGTCCCTTTAATATAGAAGATCTGTCACATAAAATACAAGTTTACATTAATCTTCATTGTTTATATATTTTTTCTTTAAAACAGTCTGTGTTGTGTTAGACACCAGAAACAAAACCTTTAAAACTAGATTGAGTTTAAAAATGTGTTGTTGTTTTATTTTTTTAATTCACTAAATAAAAAACACACACACACTTAAAGGGGAACTGTACTTTCCCAGGAATTTTAATTCGGTTTACTTATGACTTAAATATTCGTTTGCAAAGTCTAAAACATACAATTACCGTGCATTCATTTAGACCCCTTAATCCCCCCCCCCACTCCCCCTGGTTTTTATATTTCCAACCAATGCTACAATGGTTTACATTATTTTTTTCCATCCACTGGCTAAGATAGATTGTGATGTCACTTGCCAAATATCACACTTAAAAAAAATAAAAATAAAAATAAAAAAAATGAAAACAAGATTAATAAAAACTACAAGTGACTTTCAACTATGTAATTTTCAGATAAGTTACATCACCCTTTTTGCTGTTCTACTGAGAGATTGCTGCCTATGTTTCCAGGGATTGCACCAAGATTCCCCCCTCCCCAAAAAAGATTTTGAATGTGACACAGCTCATCTCTATAGATTTTAGTGAGACAATGCTTCTCTTTGCACTACCAGTGAGAAACAGTCACCAGCCGGATTCCCTACTGCATTCTTAAAATTCCTGGGGAATCAAAGGAAAAAATAAATTTAAAAAAAATCTTCTGGTTCAAGTTTATTAGTGGTGTTAACATGTTTGTTGTCGTACCTTAGCAGTTTAAAATATTTCTTGCAACACATGCACTTGCATTGCCAGGCCTTTGTTTTGAGAACATATTTTACAAGCAGGCAGCACTTAGGAATGTTCTCTTTTAGCTGGCTGTCCATTTTGCTTCTCTTTCATAACAATTATTTTAAACTAGTATAGTAAGCAGTACCTAGGAAACATCGCTAGATTTGAGCTCTAAATTCCAAGTTGTCATGGTAGTGCAGCTTCTCACATCCACTTTTACGGACTATATTTGTGGAGATGGAGGACTTGGCAAACATAGTAAAGAAAGTGCATGGATTGGTGGTCAAAAATATATAACTTTACAAATCTGCAAAGCACTTTGATAGCACAATGTGCAGTTAATATTCTTCCCCATTACAAAATGTCAGTTGTAATGGATAAATCCCTTTGCTGAAAAGTGAAATAATAAATGAGATTAACTTACCCATGACCCCCACGAGCAACAAACATTTCATGGAAAGGAAACTGCCTGTGTAAGTCTCTTTCTATTATATCCACCCACTTGGGGTCGCCCGCCATCCTGTCCAGCTCCTGTGGTAAAAGGAAATGGAGTAAGGAAGAGGAGAGGTTTCAAGAAGATTCTGAAGAAGGCCCTTGCTTTCTTACTTACATCAAACTTATCTTTGTTCTGATCCATCTTTACTCGACTACCAGAGAGGTACTGCCATGCACGGCCACGCAAAGATGGTGGAATCCCCTTCTGACATCGTAGCTTTATCTGGTAGAATACAAGTTTGTTTAAAAAAAAAAAAAAACGAAAAGAACAACAACAACAAAAACTAACTCCTGGAAACAGGAAGGTATGACATCTCAACTAAAATAAAAAATACAGCCGCAAAGCCCCAAGAGTGATTCTAAGCAGCGCCAATATTAAACGCACCACTAAAACAGTGATGGTTTATCACACGATAACAATTTTCATGATGCTTAGCTAGCATAAGTCTTGCTTAGCATAATACATGCATCTTGAGGTGGCAAGGTTAGCCATCATTGTAAGTGACACAGTGTTCAGTCTAGCAGCTCCATACATCTATCATAACGACATCTGTGGCAAATCTCAGCAAGCTATGAAAACCACAAAACAGAGAAGCAGCAAGCATGAACTTGTATAGCTCATACCCGTCAGCAACCAAAAATACTCCCAACAACACCTATATTGTACAGACTAACACATTCCTTTTAACTTTAGAGCTTTTTGATACAGACACATTGTGCAGGAGGATGGAGAGTGAATTAAAGAGACAGAATACCAATTAGGATTATTTACAAAATCTTAATGAAAAAAAAAAAAAAAAAAGTTCAAGTACACAGCTGAAGAAACAATGTTTACACATCTTAATCCAGGACATTTCAGGTGACGTCTACACCATTTATTTAAATAAACAAATTATTCAGAACAAAGCCATATTACTTAAGCACACTGTTTTCACATGCGGACTACTATTTTACAGCATCTGTTTGTGCAAGGCAGAATTTAGAAATGTATGAATTGAAGAACAAATGTAGAACTTCGGGCCGATCGACTAAATACAGACCTCAATGTTTTTAGCAACCCATGAACTGCCTCAGAACATAACAGGTCAGGGAATCCCCAAAAATGTAGATCACTCATTGTGGTCTAAAAATATCTGTGATGTTCTGTCAGTCTTAAGGCTGTCAAAGGATCATGGACATTGTAGTTCTACAAAAATAGAGGGAGCTAAAGTTAGCTCTGAAAAAAAAAAAATTCCATTAGTGTGACTAGTCAAATAAAACAGGAGGTATTCTGTCACCATTCCAATTTGGAAATGTTTCAGGATTCCTTATTTTGGAGTATACATCTGGATCTACAAATACATGCAACTGTAACCATGACTGGTAACTATATTAATGTTTTGAAAGCCTTAATGACTTTACTGTATTACATTGTTGTTTAAAGGATCACTATATGGTCAGGAACACAAACATGTTTTCCTGACCCTGTAGTGTTAAAACCACCATCTAGCCCCCCTGGGCCCCTCATGCCTCCATAAATATAGCACAATCTTACTGTATTCAAGCCTGAAGCTGTAACTCTAAATGCTGTTAGACTCAGAAAACAAGCAGTCTGCTGACATCATCAGAAGTGGTAGCCTGATCCAATCACAGTGCTTCCCCATAGGATTGGCAGAGACTGACAAAGAGGCATATCAGGGGCAGAGCCAGCATGATTCAAACACAGCCCTGGCCAATCAGCATTCCCTCATAGAGATGAATTGAATCAATGAATCTCTATGAGGAAAGTTCAGTGTCTGCATGTAGAGGGAGGAGATACTGAATGTTTGGATGCATTTTAGGCAGCCATGACCCAGGAAGGATCTCTAACAGACATCTAAGGAGTGGCCAGTGAAGTTATCACTAGGCTGTAATGTAAACACTGCATTTTCTCTGAAAAGACAGTGTTTACAGCAAAAAGCCTGAAGGTAATGTTTCTACTCACCAGAACAAATTCAATAAGCTGTAGTTGTTCTGGTGACTATAGTGTCCCTTTAAAATATGTCTATCAGCAAATGAACTTAAAATGTTCCATCACTTACATGCTACAAAAAGATAACCAGTGCAGTGTGGATTAGGAAGTCATTGTCATAATACATTTTGTTTAAATCAGTTAATTCAAAGACATTTTTTATTTATTTTTTAAATAGTGTGATTATTACTGTAGTAAGATTTCATTTGGCATATGTTACTGCTGGAGACTATAACCTGCCTTCATTATCTCACTCACAAACAAACTTGCATTAGTACACAAAAGGTGACCTAATTTACTGTGCAGTGTACTGACAAGTGGTTGAACCTGTGTTTAGTTAAGTTTTATTTAGAACACAAATCAGGTGAATATCACTTCCTCTTGACCTCTTGCACATGACAGTTCTAGTCCATGCACGTGAACCAGTCCACCCACCTGTACTGTGACCCTGTGCTGCGACGAGACAGGAAATCAGTTGTTAAAAAAGCATTTAACTACCTGGTGCAAATTTGGTTTCAAACACCCAAGGGTGCTCTGAGAACGCCCTGCACTACTACTACACCCTTCAAATGGGAGTGTGATGACATGGGGTGTCCTGGCCTGATGACACATTTAAAAAGCTACATCGTGAAGGAAAAGCTCATGTTGTAATACATTAAAACGTGTACTCCTAATGAAGAGGAGATCCTTAACATACCTTCTTATGTCGCTTTGCCATCCACTTATCCCAGCTAGAAAGCATATCCAGCCATTTTGCCTCTCTCTGCCTAAGTACGTCAACTGGCACTTCCTCCGGTCTGGAAGAGAAAAAAAAAAAAAATAGTTATCTACTTAGGTTGCCACATACATAATTCTTATATGCTCCTTTGTGTTGAGGAAAGGTTTAGGTCTGTCCCTCTATTGTAGTGAGATGAATTTGTTGGAGCCTTCTCACGCTCGCTCTGTAGAGATTGCTAGGAAAGGGATGCAACAGAAGTTTCCCCAGAATATGCACAAGCACAGCTAACAAACATTACAATCCCCATGCTATGTATTGCTTCAGTGTCTAATAAAAGTTTCCCTGTCCAGGTTTTGACTGTCTTTCTTTCAAACACCTTCCATTTCACACAACGGTCAGACCCAAATTCTGGTACTGTTCCCCCTCCCTGATTGAAGGGCTGACTGACCATGTCTATTTAAAATCATTGCACCCTGCAATCTAGAAGCCAGTGTAAAAAGAAAAACGTGGTTACCTATTTTATTAATGAAAAAGAAAAGTGTTTAATGTTTAACACTGTACTGACTGAGAGCAAGGACTTCACACTCAGCTGAAACCACAAGTCACACAACTAGAACTCTCACTTATAAATTTATATTTGTGGAAAAAAAGCTTTCAAAAGAAGCAAAATGATAGAGGGTGTGGCTTCATATAAAAAGGGAAGAATGGATAAGAGTTGCAATGTTTTCAGTAAAGGAATTAGTCACATCCTGCTCAGAGCATCCACATATCTACCCTCACCTCTCTGACCCCAGGATGGGACCCACAACCCTGAGGAAGTTTGGGAAAGGGTTTTTTAGACCAGTATGTAGGATCCAAGAACCAATGAACTTCACTATTGTAACAGCACATGATATGGGCGTTACATCAACAAAGCCGTCTTAACCCAGAAACAGGCATCAGATTAAAATTATCGTGTGACTCACATGACTCTTCTAGTGACATGCCTCAGAGACTCAGTATATTTAACATTTCCATGAGGTACTTCACATGTGAGAAAGAAAAACCACAAAAACTGCTGGACTATGATTTTTGTATAATTAGATTTAATCTGTTTAAAACTGACTGGTTAACTTGTTAACCTTTTCATGACCAACAACATGCTAGTGAAATATTGGTAATGAAATGCAGTAATAAAGAGTTAAGAAGAAGAAAAAAACAAAACTACATTTAAAAGGACCACTATAATGCCAGGAAAACACACTTTTTTTCCTGGCACTATAGTGCCCTGAGGGTGCCCACACCCTCAGGGACCCCCTCCCGCCGGGCTCTGGGGAGAGGAAGGGGTTAAAATCTTACCTTTCTCCAGCGCCGGGCGGGGAGCTCTCCTCCTCTTCGACTGAATGTGCATGCGCGGCAGGAGCTGCGCGCGCATTCGGCCAGTCTCATAGGAAAGCATTCATAATGGTTACCTATGGACGCTTGCATCTTCTCACTGTGATTTTCACAGTGAGAAGCACGCAAACGCCTCTAGTGGCTGTCAATGAGACAGTCACTAGAGGCTTTAGAGGCTGGATTAACCTATTTATAAACATTGCAGTTTCTCTGAAACAGCTATGTTTATAAAAAATAAAAAAAATAAAATAAAAAGGGTTAACCCTAGCTGGACCAGGCACCCAGACCACTTCATTAAGCTGAAGTGGTCTGGGTGCCTATAGTGGTCCTTTAAGGATAACTAGACCTACTTTTTCTACAGTAATATGCTAACCTTATAAGTAAAACCTATGAGTAAATAAGATTTGATAAACGGCTGAGTTTGTTCAATCAGGCCAAGTGCAGGCAGACTGACAGACTTATATTACCAACATCCTTAATCTGTAAATTTTAAAGAGGCAGATTGTATAAATGCAATTAGGAATGAGTAGACAACTTACTGGGTACACTCAAACTTAATGTGTCCTTGAAGAAGACACAGGGAATGTATACAAAGTCACACAGATAACCTGACAAATAAACAAACACCTACAAACAATAGATAAAGTTGCATGCTTAAAACCAGAAAGACAGTTTTTCTCAGATTAAAACCATTTCAGAGAAATGAAGGTTGCCAGCAAGCAAACAATAAATTTGCTATAGCACTCTGTGAGGGCCATGCTACTACATGCTGCACATGCAGATATAACTGCAGTTTTGTGCCGGGGGAAAGTTACACCCCCAGCACACGTGATTTGGACATTAGTTTTATGCAAATATTTTGTATGTCATTAGCACCACTGCATCAACCCTTGCAGGCAACATATAGACTGAAATGGGGAGCAACCCCCTGCTTTCCTTTTTTTCCCTCTCATCTAAGCTCTCCTCACAACCCTGTATTTCTTAAAAGGGACACTTTAGATACTCAGAACACCTCATCTCATTGAAGTAGTCTGGGTGCAGTGTCCCTGTCCCCTTAGCAATGAAATGTAAAAAAACATTCCAGTTCCAGAGAAACTGCAATGGTTACATTGCGGTACTAATACAGTCTCTAGTAAGAGCGCCGAGTGTGATCTGCGTTGGTATTGGTTGAGTTTTTTTTGGTTTTTTTTTAAAACCCTTTTAACAGCAGTGGCGTAATCTTCTGGCGACGAGAGACTTTTTTTTTTTTCAATTTGGACATGTTCATTCTAAACTGGGAAATAAATTGGGGCTCGATAGTTTGTTTTGCTTTTCCAGATTATGAATAATCAACAGAATAAAGATGATTGAGCTGCAGAATATGGTGTTTTAAACTTTTCATGTGGACCCAGATGATGTAGCTGACGTCGGCGGGGGAGGAGAGGTCACCAGCGCCGAGGGAGCCCAGCGCTGGAATAAGGTAAGCTGCTGAAGGGGTTTTAACACCTTCAGCGCCACAGAAAGGGGGACCCTGAGGGTGGGAGCACCCTCAGGGCGCTTTGTTCTCCTGACACTATAGTGATCCTTTAAATCACTAGTCAGTAGGACTCGATTTAAATAAAATCCAACCTAATTTAGGAATACAGCTTTGTATTTCTAATACTATAGTGTTCTTTTAATATGCGTCTCCCCTCCCTCCCTTGTCCACCGTGACTCACCCTGGTGATGTTGGGTAACATCATGGAAACACTCAAGGATAGCTTCACCCAGTGCTAAATTCTAAGGTACGTTTTTAGCCAAGTTACAGGATTTTGAAGTTTAAAAAGGGGGGAGGACAAAGTTGTTGTTTTTGGCACTACCAACAGTAATAAAGGCTTATTCTCAACTACCACCATATGAACGGTTATATGCACCAACATCTCTTTGAAAAACAACTTATGTTAAATACGAGTGGTTTACTCACTCAATATTAACGTACCACTAAACTCGTGTAGGACACTTCAACTCAATTTAGTGGTCCTATAGTTTCTCTTATTGGAGATTTAAGTCCATACCTAGTTACTATCAGAACGACAGCGGCTAAAGACACTTCCATGGAACTGACCAAGTAAAACTCTTTTACATGACATGGAAGCATTGATTCAATGATTTACTATGGGAAGCTTGGATTCACATGGTATTCACTGCATGAGCATCAGGAGCTTTGGATTGGACCATGCTGATTGATATTATGCCTCCTACATGACGTTGCAGGTAAGGGAACGGTAAGCAATGCTGATGGAGCCTAAATGCCAGAAAAAGGCAAGTAAAAACCTATTTTCTTATTTATTTTCCAAACACCATGGTAACTAGGGACAGAGACACTAACGCTCTAGCAATACAGGTTTAGCGTTTCTTTACACTGTAGTGAACTTGAAACTGAACTGCAAAATTCAGACTGATATGGACAAGTCTAACAGGGTTATTTACTAAAATGAGAACCTAAGGTGAAGTTTACATTTAAGCCCAGAAAAGCCAAACCGAAACCATAGCCGACAAAGAGGACACATTCCTCACCAAAACAACTTTAGCTTAATGAAGCAGTTTTTTTTGTGTGTGGATCATGCCCCTGCAGTCTCACTGCTCAGTTCTCTACCATTTAGGAGTCAGATCACTTTTGTTTCTGTTCATGTAGCCCTATCCACACCTCCCATTGCTGTAATTCCCACAGCCTGCATGAAAAAAAAATGTTTATTTTCACTAAGATTTTAACTTGCTTTAGAAGGTTCTATCTCCTGCACTGTAAATTGAACTTTAATCACACACAGGAAGCTTGTGTGTTAAGCTAAAGTTGTTTTGGGGACAATAGTGTCCCTTTTTAAATTTGAAATTCACCTTGAATTCTCATTTTAGTGAATAAGCCTTATTTTTATGTTATATTTTATAAATTTGTGTTTCAGTGAGATCAATTTAATCTCACCAAACTGGTTATGAGGCCTGTAGTCATTAACATTCCTTTTAAAAGTACATGATTTTATACTTTAACAGGACATTTTTAATAGAATGTCATAATTACTATACACACACACACACACACAAACATATTATGTGTATTATAATCTAATAAAAATAACCAAGGCTATCTTGTCTCATGATGATAATAAAGTAAGCAATGGAACATTGGCTTTTAAAGGTGTGGTGCTCAAATATCACAGAATAACCTACAATAGGGAACTCCATGGAAGCAGATAATGGAAATATAAACAATGAAACATGTAAAAATCAAACACGGTCCTTCAACACAGCATATAGTATTGACAGCAGGGCTCAAAATTAGCACTTGGCCTCTAGCAAAAAGCAAGTGGAAATTGCTCCCGTGCAAGATGCACGTGTGTTCGTGAAAGAAGATAGCAGAGGTTCAGTCTCAGCATGGAGAATGAGATAAACTGTATGGAGAATGTGTTCGGGCTGCAGTTTGTGATTTGTGGCATCACTTACTTGGAGATGCCCCCAGCTACAAAAAAAAAAAAAAAGGGTTGACTGTGGAGACCTTGCAATAAATGGCAAAGTTAGGGCTTGGTTGTGATGGAGGAGATAAGAATGACCTGCCATCAGTTAGGAGGTAAAGGGGGGAGAGGAGAGAAATTGTTTTTTTAGCTACAAGGAAGAGAAGAAATGAATAGGTTAGTAGCTATGGTGGAGGGTGAGGAATTTGCTAATGGAAATGGAGACAAACACACCTCATTTGCGCCAGGTCTTCTTGACCTCTTGCTATATATTTAAAAACTTTTTTTTTTAATTTTTTTTTTTTTTTATGTGCATAAGATTACAGAGAACAGATAACAAATGAGCTTGCCATGCCACGACAGCAGTAGCAAGCACGTGTAAAACAAGAGTTAACAAGAGTTAACATGGCATGTGAGGAAACAGCACAATTACGTTACAATAATCAGGCTTGCTATGTTGAGTAAACTATGAAAACTTGAACAGGCTTAGTACATATGAGAAAAGAGTGCTGTTATCAGGTTAGCCCAACCATGCATGGGTATACAAATCAAAAGGCATCAGAGGCAAGTAGGCAGTTATGAAAATTAAAATCTAGGTAAACAAATTAGACAATTGACAGTTGCTTATCAGGTTAGACAAGAGACTGAATGACATTGAGAGACCCCCTAAGAGGCCACCCAGTTATCTAGGCTTGAGTCCCCCAGTGTAAAACAAGGAAAAGCAGAAACTATAACAAAAATGTATTTCCCGCACAACCTGTGGTAGCAGAGTTCATTGTGCCATTGCCTTGGTCAGCGAATGCCCTGCTGGGGTAACACATAGCCCAGTCGTGAAAGTCCTAGCATCAGGCCTAGTGGCCCATGTAAGTGGGGACAGGTACAGAGTGAGGCCCTCTGGATTCTACTCGATGGACTTAGGATCCAGTGTGGAGAGGGAAACAGACACTTTAGGTACCTCATGTCTGGCTGTGGCTGGGAGCTGGGCTTGCATGTAGTGGGCAGTTTCTTGCGCTGAGGCCTCAGCGCGTCCAGATTTATACGTGTGGCTTTGTGTGCAGGCAGGAAATGTCGCAGTTTGCGGCGCAATTTTCGTGCTATTCCTGTTCAGGGAACTTTGTGTCTGTGATGGGAGCATGTGGACAGCTCTTTGGGTGAGTGCTCGTCTAGAGTGTTTGCGATGAACTTGAACTTTCTAAGTGTGAGTTTCCTCCAGAATGTGGAGAATATGTCGTCCAGCTTTGCCAGGATGTCAGGAGCCTTTCCTGTTTCAGAAGTGGTGATCGCCACCATTGTAGGGTGAGTAAGCCTCACCTGGTAGCCCTGCCACAGAGCATGGAGGGGTTCTCCTGGGACCGGGATAACCCCCACCGGTCCGTGGGGGGGATATGGGAACCGGGGCATATGTTCCAGATTGCAGGCCATTGTGGCTGCAGAAGAGGGGCCACCTCCCCCACGCCGACCATGCTTGTAGGCCGCAGATAGTACTCCTGTGATTTGCGCTAGGTAAGGTGCTTATTTGGTGCCAGCGTGAGCCCTTTGGTATCAACTCTTGCTTGGCGGCCCATTTCAGTCATTTGCTGGCGGATTAGGAATTGTAGTTAGCAATATTTGCCCAAAAGATCAGGAGCAGCTGTGACTTGCATCCACTCAGCTCTGCGCTCAGTTCTTGCTATATTCTGTATGTCAAATATCCCTAATCTAGAATTGTAAAGCACTGTGGAATATGTTGGTGCTATATAAGATCCAGTAGTAGTAGTAGTAGTAGTAGTAGTGATTACAAAAACAAAAATGCAGTGTGGACGAATTTCAGGTACTCCTTTCTTTTCGCACCTGGCTACAAATGCAAGACATTCTAAGCCCTAATCTACAGTTTTTCACTAGAGGGAAAACAGTCAGTAATTCAAACTGAATATAAAATGTAAGGCTAAAGTAGGTAAACTGGAGGCATAGCTGAATTTTTAATTATTAACCATTCTCACCAAGTGAATAACCCTGACAGTATTAAACACACAACATAAGACATGTCCACTTTCCGTGAACTCTTACTTTAAATAATAAAATACATGCTTTCCAACATTTTTACCAAGTGCTGCAATATAACTCCGAAAATATCATAAACTCAATTACTGTTTTCTTAACAGTCTAGCTACCCAAGGTGACGTTAGTGGAAAATACTACATTGGGCCAAGTACTCTGAATATTACAGGGTGTACAGGCCGCTCACAAGTGGTCAGTGGACACTGCAAATGAAGGCGTGACTCTTTTAGAGCACTATAGCTTCCCATTTACACAAAGCATTTCTTTTAAAGTTTGGAAGCTGCATCGACCACAATGGCCAGTCTATAAGACTGACAATCTTCTGTTTATTGTGTGGTACTGAAGACAGAGCACATCCTGTAGTGGACAGGAGGGCACTATATCTACAGTGAAATGCATAACAGCATGTAGACTCCTTCTAAATTGTGTACAATCTAAGCAGAGCATAAAACTGAACACCAAAACACATCAGTGGTTTAAAAATAAAACAAAAGTCAATAAAAAGTCAATCCATACCACAGGCTTACACAACAGTTTCATCATACTATGACATTTAAAACACTGGTAGATTATACAAGTTTAAGTGCTGCTAACAATGCAGAAAATTTAAATAAATATTTTACAAGATATTGTTACAATCAGCAAAAACAGAGTACCACAAATTGCATTACTTAGCAGGTTGCAGTTCTTTGTTGCCTCCTGAAAATTTTAACTCATTACATAAATAATCTTCACCTCAGTTTTTACTGACTCGGCATTATAAAAAATGTTGTGAAGCTGAATCAATAAGCAAGTTAAAATATTGTTAAAGGGATACTATAAGTGCCAGGAATACAAAACTGTATTCCTGGCACTATAACTCCCCTTTTCCTTCCCCCTCCCCAGTGAATAAAGGGTTAAAAACACTTTATTTACTTACCTGATTCCAGCGCCTGATGTCCCTCAGAGCTGGGTCGTGGCTCCTCCTCCAACCTATGCCACGCAAGCATTAATATGCATGCGCAGCAAATTACACTGAATCAGTGCTTTCCAATGGAGGAAAAATCTGTAAGGACGTCCAGCAACAGATACCGGACTAAAAATCCATTTGGATGAAGGAAGCACCTTTAGTGGCTGCCACTGGAGGCAGACTTAGTGCTGCAATGTAAGCATTGCAGTTTCTCTGGAACTGCAATGCTTAACAATGCAGCACTAAGTGCAATATGAACACTGCACCCAGACCACTTCAATGATCTGAAGTGGTCTGGGTGCCATAGACACAATACGTTAGCTTAAACAGTTTTAGTGTATAGATCATGCCCCTGCAGTCTCACTGCTAAAGAGATACTATAGGCACCCAGACCAACTCATCTCATTGAAGTGGTCTGGGTGCAGTGTCACTGCCCCACTTAGTCCTGCAATGTAAATACAACAATTACACTGCAGGACTAAAACTGCTTCTAGGGACTTCCTGCTTGCTAGGCGACTTGCTTGCTAGGCCTAAATGACGCTGGATGTCCTCATGCTCTGCATCCAGCATCAGTTAAATCCCCATAGTAAAGCATTGAAGAAATGCTTTCCTGTAGAAAGAGCCTAATGCGTTTGCAGTGCTCGCCATGCATGTGCATTAGCCTCCCGGTCGGTTGATGTTGGAGGAGACAAAGCGTTGACCCAGCACCGGGGAAGATCGGCGCTGCAATTAGGTAAGTGTAACATGGGTTTTCACAGAACTGAAGAGTGAAACTATAGAAGCATAATCTATACACTAAAATGGCTTTGTTAAAAAGGGACACTATAATCACCAGAGCAACTACAGCTTATTGTATTTGTTCTGAGTATAGTCAAGCCCTGCAGCCTTTTTGCAGTAAACACTTTTTCAGAGAAAAGGCAGTGTTTACATTACAGTCTAGGGATACTTTCACGGACTACTCCTCAGATGGCTGATAGAGGTGCTTCCTATGGCGGTGCTGCACAGTGTGCATTCAGTGTCTCCATCCTCTGCATGGAGAAACTAAACTTTCATCATAGAGATGCACTGATTGACACAGGAGAGCTGTGTTTGGCTTGTGCTGGCTCTGCCCCTGATCTTTCTCCTTGGCAAGCTCAACCAATCCAATGAGAAAACAGTGTGATTGGCTGAGATCACCACTTTTGATTATGTCAGCCAAGGATGCAAATCAGGTGCAGAGCCAGCAGCAGACTGGAATAAACGGTAAGATTTTACTATATCTAGGGGGGCAATGGAGGCCAGATAGTGAGTTTAACACTATAGGGTCAAGTATACATGTTTGTGTTCCTGACTCTAGTGTTCCTTTAAGATAAAAGTTGTTTGATGCTTATAGTATCCCTTTAGGCCAGGGGTGTTCAAACTTTTTAAAACAGGGGGCCAGTTCACTGTCCCTCAGACACGGTTGGGGGCCAGACTATAGTTTGAAAAAAAAAAAAAAAAATTCTATACATACTGAAACAGACATATACAGAAACATACTAACATACACACACTGAAATACATACACACTAGGGACTGACCGATATAGATTTTTTTAGAGCAGATACCGATAACCTGTGAACTTTCAGGCCGATGGCCTATCACTTACCGATATTCTGTACATTTACCATTTTGAAAAAATAAACTATTTCTAAAGTTAAATGCACAAAATATACATGCCACACGTAGTGGATGCAGTGTGTTTAGACAGGGGAGCTGTGTGTGTTTGTGCAGTGTGTATGTGTAGTGTGTATATAATGAATGCAGTGTGTGTGTTTGTGTAGTGTGTATAGTGAATGCAGTGTGTTTGTGTAGTGTGTGTATATAATGCAGAGTGTGTGTAATTTGTGTAAAATGGGGAGCGGAGGGGATATGGCATGGACTGTGCAGTGGAGGGCGCGCAGCAAGCGCCTACTTAACTTTCCTAGGAGCTCCCTTCAGCTTCCCTATGTAAATCTTGCGGCCTGCGTGCCACGCGGAGCATTGCCACGATAATCCGTGGCAACGCTCTGACAGCCGCGGGACTCGCTAGATTTACACAGGGGAGGTAAGTAAGAGCTTGCTGCGGGCCCTCCAGGACCGCCGGGCAAGTCATGGGCCGGTGTTCCTGGTACGTATTATCGGCAATATAAGTATCTCTAGAGGCGGATACCGATATTGCCGAAAATCGGCCAGACCAATAATCTGTCGATCCCTATACTGCACCACACACACACACACACACACACACACACACACACACACACACAAAACAGGGAAAAAGAAATAGATACATTTAGGAACATAAGTTTTTTGTTTGTTTGTTTTTTATACTCTTTACTGGTGGGCTGTAAGGACATTTTTACCATCAACAAAGATACAAAAGTGTGCGGTAGGTATTAAAAGGTTGACTACACCTGAACTAGAGCATTCACTATCAGTCACAGTAATCAGGGGGAAGCCAGAATAATAGAAATATGAAGCTGCAACATAAGCGTTAATTGCCCAATTGCTATAGGTTTCAAAGAAAGAAGCAGTCAGACAAGTGATTCTTTAATAGTAAATTGTTAAACAGTTACAAAATGAGTCCCAAACAGTCTGAAATGCAGTGACATCAGCCACAAACACTGCAAAATAATTTAATCTCTCAAGGGAAACAGTCTCAAAAATAATGAGGGCCTAGTCCATACATGGATAAACTAGGAATAGTAGCTGTATACTGAAGCGAACTGATAAATCACTTAAAATACCACAGAAGCATACCCTAGATGAAAATGAACAAAGAACTGAATAAGCCATTCTGCGACAAAGCCTCAACAGAACAAAATCATAATTTATTTGAAAGGGGCAGAATTTATGGCAAGGCTGCCAAGAATAAAACTCTTGTATCTGAGAAACCCCCCCCCCCCCCCCAAAAAAAAACAAACAAACACCCAACAATCATCTGGTGTAGGGAGCACAATGTACCAAAGGAAAAAGCAATAGGGTCTTGTGAGTGTCATTTACTCCAAAGGCCTCCCTATAGAGGGTCTAGGTGGATCCATGAGTCACATCATCACTCTTAGGGGGCAGCACTTCAAGCTCTCTAAGGAGTTAACAAGTCCAACTGCAAAACACCTGAGAAATAAGTGTATATGTATTACTGTATGAATGAATGACTGTTGCTACATAGGGGTGTGTGAGAAGTTCATTATATATGTGTATGAATAATTATGTATCATTGTGAATTACTTATGTGTGAGAAATTAGGGAACGTTTGGTGGCGTTTGGCACATGGCTAGGGGCAGCATTGTGTTTTTGGACCAGGCAGCACAATATTTTGGGCCATCGCTGTTTACCGTATTTGAAAAATTTTGATGAGGTTTAGATGTGGAAAGCCTGTAATTCACAATGGCTCTTTACAACCGTTAAAAGGACATTCTATGCAGCATAACAGCCAATGGTCATTGCATAGGCAAATTCAAAGGAGCTTGTCTGAACACTAGCAGGATTGTTCCCTAAACAGAGTTATAGCAAACTGATCTGATCATTGCAAAATTCCAGGCTCTATTTAGTTTAGCCTAAATGGTTACATTTCTTTGTCAATTCCTGATTTAGTAAATAAATTAATTAGGTTTCAGTAAAAAAAAAATAATAATAATAAAAAAAAAATAAAAAAATCTTACTCTCTCAAAAAAGTGGGAGGCTTGAGGATCTATGTAATATTCCACTACGCAAATTTCAGGGCTTGTATGACCACATTCCAAGAAGGACTGAAGCTGCTTGTAAATCAAGGGATGGCCTGTATTCCTTATTAGGTACTTGGAATTATATGTTATTTTTCTATTGAAACCCGGCCCAGTGCAGTCTGTTCTGTAGGACAGAACAAAACAGAAAAGGGTGTTTAATAAAACAAGTGCCAATCATATTCTAGATTTCCATTATACTGTTCACTATATGTTTTATAGGATGTATTTTTCTCATGATACTTTCTTATTCTGTACAGCATAATTTCTTTCACAATATATTCACCAACTAAAGAAACATTTAGCAGTAGTATTCATATGAAAAACACTTATATTTCCATGCTCCATAAAAACACAAGCTTACATTTCCTGAGTAACATTGTGAGGAAAGTTTAAATTTTAATGCATCTCTGTGGGTGATATGCAGTGACCCATTTGGAAACCAGTCTGCAAACCCCTTCACCACCACTGATAATCACATAATGCTTTAGTGTTTCCTCTATCTTATCATGACCTCATTTCCATTAAAGCCAACCTCTTTCATTATTAGCACATCATGGCTCAGTTATCCCAATAATTGATTGACCATGCCTCAGAATAGCTGCCTTCCTCATTAACGCAGAAGCCATGTATTAATACAGGCCTTGACAATGCCTGGTTATGCAACTAACTAGTCCATTCATAATTCATTGTATTTTCACCTTAAAACTAAAAGGGTATATTCAGGTCAGAACCCTGAAAACCAGTTTCCATTGGTGGCCATACCGCTACAAAGTCTTGCACCCTTGTCTTTATAAGTACCCAGCAACATACATGTCAAATCTCTACCTTCCTGTTCTCTGTACCAACACGGTCAGAGCTGTCTCACCAACACAATTGGCTTGTGCTACCCCAGGGCTCTGTGCCAACACTGGGAGTTTGCAACCTCAATGCATTGTAGCAATCCTGCCAATCTGTTTCTTGGACCACCACTAACAATTACTTGATTCTATGTCTTTAGGACAACACTAGCACTGCCCATTTAGACCCCCCTAAAGCCCTATTTCAAAACTTTCAAATTGCCACTTACTAGGCAACAACAGAAAACAATCTGCCCATCCTAGAGCCTGGCACCAACACTACCAGTCACCTCTTCCTAGTGTCCGGAACCAAAAATTAAGTGTTCCCATCATAGTGCCTGTACCAGCATTACCAGTCTTCCAATTCTACAAGCGTGCCCATCCAACCACTCCTTAAGGACCTTGTCAAACTGACCATCTTGGTGTCCTGTACCAATAATGGCAAACTGCCCATCTTTGTGCCCTGTACCAATATTGCCAGGATGCTCATTCTAACACCCAATAACAGGGGTGGGCAACCTTTGGCACTCCAGACATTGTGGACTAGATCTCCCATAATGCTCTTACTGCCATAATGCTGGCAAAACATCCTCAAGTTTAAATCTAAAGTGCTAAATGTTGGCTATCCTTGACCTATACAAACCATGCCAGCCTGCCCATACCAGTAACCTGTACAAACCATGCCAGCCTGCCCATACCAGTAACCTGTACAAACCATGCCAGCCTGCCCATACCAGTAACCTGTACAAACCATGCCAGCCTGCCCATACCAGTAACCTGTACAAACCATGCCAGCCTGCCCATACCAGTAACCTGTACAAACCATGCCAGCCTGCCCATACCAGTAACCTGTACAAACCATGCCAGCCTGCCCATACCAGTAACCTGTACAAACCATGCCAGCTGCCCATACTAGTAACCTGTACAAACCATGCCAGCCTGCCCATACTAGTAACCTGTACAAACCATGCCAGCCTGCCCATACTAGTAACCTGTACAAACCATGCCAGCCTGCCCATACTAGTAACCTGTACAAACCATGCCAGCCTGCCTCTACCATAGCCCTGTACCAGCCTTGCCAGTGGCCACCATAGTACCCGGTCCCAATACTGGCACTCTTCTAAACCAGCCCCTAATCCAATCACTGCCATCCTGCCATGCACACACAGTGCCCGGGTGCCAGCTGCTCTCTATGAAGGTGGCAGTCAGTCAGTCAGTCAGTATTACCCTCTGCTGACAGATGACACAGACCGCCCCCCTCCCCCCCCCCGGGAGTGACCCCCCTCACACTGTCCGCCGGGATACTCACAGGGCTCCGTCCACATCGCTCTTCAGCAGGAAGCCGTACTTGTCGGTCCTCCTCTCCGGAGGGAAGCCATTAATCTCGGAGTCTGAGCCCAGGGACTCGAGCTCGGGGTCACTGCTCAGGGTCTCCCTGGTCCCCCGCAGGCTGGCAGAGGGGGACATGCTGCCCTCCCCGGGGCTCTGAGCCATCCCGGTACTCCCCCCGCCCTCCTCAACAGCCGCAGCAAGGAGCCATCACCGCTCCCGGCCCCCTGCCGAACCGCACACAGTTCCCAGCTCCCGCAGACACCTCCCGGGGCCCGCACTGACACGACACGCCCACTGCCAGTCAGCCGCACGGCCTTCAACGTTTAGCCAATCACAAGCCGCCGCTAGAAAACTGCAGCCAATCAGCTCTCCGCACTTCCCATCCATCATATGAGTATCCTGAGCACACGGGATAGACCGCCTCATCTCCCGTTTAGCCAATCACCGGACAGAACTCCCTGGTTCAACCAATCAGCGACTTAAGGCTCGCCCGTTTCCGCGCTCGAGCTGTCTACTTCTGCTAGGTTTCCGATGCCAGCGCTGAGATCCGAAAGTACTCTGGTGTTTGTTTGTCTGTAAAGTTCCAATCCATGCACGTGTCAATCAATCCTAAACCACGCCCACGCGAAGTGTCAATCTGCCGTAGCACCGCCCCTATCCGGAATCCTGCTGTTATTGCTTCCATTCTAACAGTTGGAACGTTTACACAGTTCAGTCAGTGAGGCACATCTCCAGCATCTCACAGCTCTGGGGACTACAACCCCCACTGCACCCTGCCACATGCCTCCTCAAGTTGCCAAACTTAGCCATTTTTATATTATATGACAAGTGGGTAACAGTTTTTTGGTTATCGCTGAATTAGCAAGAACTGGCTCTATTGAGAATTGTAGATTATGCTATCTTTAGTGTACCTATAATCTTAATTTTATAACATGACAGGAGGCGAGTATTTGCTTAAGTCTCTCTTTACTAGAACTCCACAGCACCACAGAAAAAACAACAAATCAGAAAAAAGTTAGGTACTATAAAAGTCCCCTCCCCATTCATCATTTCCTCTTTCAATCTGCGACAAAACAATAAAAGGCAGAAAATATAATGGGGAAGAAACAAAGTCCTAGATATGATGAATACAACAACGTCTTCCATCCGAGAAGAAATGCTACACCAGATAACGTTGATGGACTGTAAACTGAAACGAGAGAAAAACAGAATCGAACAGGTTGGTTAGCCAATGAAATGTACTCTGAATAAACATGTAGGTATCCAATGTACTAAATAGAGATAAGATTATTTTCCTTTGCCTCAACCAACAAAAAGTTGGAATGAGGGTTATGAAAATTAAGTCAGGATGGTGGTACCAGCTCCACCAATTATGGGCTTGAACCCAAATAATGTAGATAAAAGACAAAAATAAACTAAATAGGAAGAATAGCCCCCTAAGGGGTCCTCCTAGTGGCTGGTATGAGAAATCTGCACACCATTAATACTAAGTGTCTATAGGCTTCTTGCAAAAATGTATAGAGTGTAAGCAATAAAAACTCTAGCTTCTCTGGTGTAACTAAGTATCATAAGGCTTATGACCAGGGGAGGGCTGGCAGCCTTAGGCCTGGGGGGCAAAACCAGTCAAGTGGCCCATTGCACCACCAAATCAGTTCACCATCCATGCCCACCTTTTCCTGGTTTTATAGCGGATATTGATGTTATGCTAATCAGTAGCTCTTTGCCATACCCGCTCCTTCACGGCTCCAGGCACTGCTTGTTGTGAGTGTGAGCCACTGTAAATTAGGGGCAGAGGGCACTTGCACTGCGGTAAAGACGGGGCTGGGCAGGAGGAGAGTGCAGTGCAATCAGTGCACTCCCCTCCTGTGGGTTACCAGTAGACTGGTGCACCTGCCCAGGATCAGAGCCGGTGCAAGGATTTTTGCCGCCCTAGACAAAATAAAAATTTGCTGCCCCCCCATGTGACATGACAATGCCCCACCCATATGATCTGCCATATGAACTAACGCCAGTGCTGCACACAGTGTATGTTTACATTAAAAAGCCTGCAGGGACCAGCTATAGACACCAGAACCACTTCATTAAGCTATAGTGTCCCTTTAATGTGAAGTAAATTATAGATTAGTGTCACTAATAATATACTAGATTGCCTACTTACAAGCAGATGAGGATGATGATGGGCTGCAGTTTGGCTCCACTGGTCTGGTGTAGAACAGGATCTCTGGAGGCTTTTTGCAACTGTGGTCACAAAATTCAATGTTTTGCGAGAATTGGAAGCAGCTCCATTTTTTGGGGCCCTTTACACAGCTCAAGGTCTGGGCCCCAGGGCCTGACGGTGAGTATGCCCATAAGGCCCACTCATAAGTTCCACCCACCCATGAGTTCGCTCACAGGGAGTGGAGTGTGTAGGGGATGTGTTATGTGTTGTAGAGGATCTAATATGTGTGCTTATGGTATGTAGTGTATAGGGTTACCAGTTTGTGCAGGTGATGTAGTGTGTTTGTGTGTAGTGGAAGCAGTGTGTATTTGTGTATAAGGGATGTATTATGTGTTTCTGGTTGTGTGTAAGGGATGCATTGTGTGAATCTGTGTTTGTATGCATAAGGGATGCAAAGGTGTGTGTCTGTATGTGTGTGCATGAGATGCATTGTGTTTCTGTGTGTATGTAAGAAAAGAAGTGTGTGTGTTTGCATGCGTGTGTACGGGTTTCTGTGTATGTGTGCAAAGGATGCATTGTCTTTGTGTGTAAGGGTTGCATTGTGTGTGTGTGTAATGGATGCATTGTGTGTTTCTCTGTGTGTAAGGGAAGCATGTTGTGTTTCTGTGTGCGTAGGGATGCATTGTGTGTTTCTGTGTATGTATAGGGATGCATTGTGTGTGTGTGTGTGTGCGCGTAGTGTGAAAGAGCTCCCTGTCTTGCCCCCTGTCCTATAGAGCTGTCCCTTCTGTCCCTTAGAGCTCTCCACTGCCCCTTAGTGGTCTCTCCTCTCCCCCACCCTCCCCTAGCGGTCTCTTCTCACACTCACCCACCCTCCCTGTGCTCTTCTCATCCCCCCTCCACCCTCCCTGTATTCTTCTCACTCCCCCCTCCATGTGTTCTCCTCACCCCCCGTGTTCTTCTTACCCCCCTCCTCCCTGTGTTCTTCTTACTTCCCCCCTTGTTCTTCTTATTCCCCCTTGTTCTTCTTGCTCCCCCACCTGTTCTTCTTATCCCCCTTCTTCTTACTCGCCCCTTCTTCTTTCTCCCCCTTCTTCTTATTGCTCCCCCCTTCTTCTTACCCCCTCTTCTTCTTCTTACCCCCCTCTTCTTCTTCTTACCCCCCTCTTTTTCTTACCCCCTCCTACTTCTTCTTACTCCCTCCTACTTCTTCTTACTCCCCCTTCTTCTTCTTCT